CATGTCATATACTATCAGGATGTATCATATTTATTGAATAACATAAAAGAGTACAATCTAATGCAGCTTCAAAATAAAATAACTGTATTTTAATTTATGGCAAAAACTTTATAAGACCAATATAGAAGTACTTTTAAAACTGAATTATGAACTAACATTCTGTTCCAGTCTTCACTTAAATTCTCCTGACAGAGAGAAACTTTACACAAGCAACAATTGGTTAAATATAAAACTTTTATATTTCTTTTAGTATTTGAAGGGCAGTTTCTATCTCTGTTTCTCTAACTTGAATGTTGAAAGTTTTTACATGTCCACCAATTTAAACTATTAAATATAACACTATATAGGTTTTAAACATTAATAATGATTAAAATGAAAAATGAATTAGCTATTTTTCTAACTATTCTATGCTTAGAGGAAATGGCAGCGTTTAACATGTAACAAATCAGTAGCTTTGTTTCACTTCATACTCATATTTAATTAGATTGGCTATTATTTTCATGTGTTGACAGGTTTCCTTATAAGGTTCATCTAAGTAATATTAAAAAAAAGAAAAGAAAACCTAAAAGTTAAATTACATGTTCTAAACAAAATTGTCGCATTAGTTCTGTTTTATTTTATTTTGTGTTAACTTATTTTGTGTGTGTGTGTATATATGTATTTATTTTCCTTAGTTTGCATGCTTTCATTTTAATGTTTATTGCACACTTGTCATTACATATTATTATTCTGTTAAACTTCCACTCAAATGTTTCAAATGAAATACTAAAATCAAAAAAAGAAACAATACATGAAGCTAATTCACATAATATGCCAAACATGAACATATAAAAGCAACTTCTTTGGATATGTTACTGTCTTTAACATTTTCTTATACATTTATATATATTTTGGACCATCTATTCATATATTTAGCAAGGTATTTTATTTTTTCCTTCCACTGGGAGATAAACAATAATTACAATGCAGCGTGTCACAAAATTTGAGAACAATTTATAAGATTAAAAGTTTAATAGACAAGAGTTTCATATCCAATCATATTATGTGGTTTATCCATTGTATTTGTTAGAAGATACAATTATTAACAGTTTGTGCTTAACCACTGGCAGATACACTCTTAAATTTAAAAATTTTCCAAAACTTAGTTAATGTTAAAATACATAGTAAAATTTAATTCATTGACATATGGAATATTAAATAAATTTTCTAATTTGCATGCTTAGCATACGTCATTTTCCACTATCATAATTCCAAAATATGACATACAATTATTATTTAAAGAAGCATGTTTATGTATGTAAATCATTTCATTTTATTTTTGTTATATTGGGATATACTGTTTAAAAATAAAATTACATTTCAGGAACGTTTGTATACTGTAAACATCTTATGTAAAAGAAATCTGAAATAATTTAATGACAGGATAACCCAATTGTGATAAGCTATACCTTGTATACATGATTTAATTTCAAATGAAGAATGGATCTTCTGAATGTACACTTTTTGCCTTGATTTGCGTTCTATGTCTTGTATGCGTTTAACTGTGCTATCAAAGATAATGTTTAAAAAATTGTGTAGCATACTTCATTTTTAAAAAAAAGAAGTAAAAACAATGACATTTTAATACTGAATAAGATATATTTTATATTTAATACTGAATTGTTATTACACATAATTCTAAGTATTTTTTTCCCAACATTAACAATTACCTCGTGAAAGAGTTATGCATGCAAAATTTTGAATGTTTTTAAGCTGGTAAACATTTTGATGATTTAAAGTCTGTGTTTCATACACTTCCACTTTAAAGAGGTACCAATATCACTCTAAATTGGTTTGCATTTTAAATAGAATGATCATAAACGTACATTATCTAATGGCATTGTGATGAATGAGTTTATTGTCATATTAAGGAAGTTGTGGTACTTCTTTATAGTTTCACTTATCTAAATTTAGACGCAATTCTACTTTCTGCTTTCATGAATTCATATCTACTCTTCACTTTGCATAAATTTGAACATTATAAGTAAATTCATTTCACACCAACAGTAAACTTTCATACTTTCAAGTGACAACAAAAATCTTGACGTAATTGTTACTAAAGCAATTAAATCATCAGATTCCACACTTTTCCAAAGTGATGTTTTTGAAAGTTAAAAACAATATTATCTGTTTCCTGTTCCCACTTTGGAATTGCTTTCCAGTTATGTCGGTGTTTGAAATGTGTCTTTGCCGTGGTAAATTTGTAATCATGTTTCATTTGTGAAATTTATCCTGTTTATTATTGCCAATATGATTCTAGCCTTATTATTAAACTAATTCCTTCATTTATACTTTTATGAGTGTTTCTTGAGAACCTGCTGTGTGTCAGGCACCGTTCTAGGTGCTAGAGATTCAGCAATGACTAAAATATGCAAAAATGTCAGCCTTCATGGAGCTTGCATTCCAGTACGGAGATGATGCAATGTATATTAAAACATAAGGACTGATTTCTAAAATATCCAGCTGAAATACCTGTTTGATTAGATTATGCTTGTTGTAGAAAGTGTGGGTTTCAATGCTTTATTTTAACATTGAAACCATGTTCTATATTCATGATAAAGGACTAGCATAGAATCACTTCCACCATTTATGTGAGTTAAAATCTAATGCTGAAGATTTCGGGACTGGAGTTGCTAAAAGACCCCATGTCTAACTGCTACCACAGATCAGTTCTAAGTACAGAATTGGTCTGGAATTTTGGAGCTTATCCTCTTGGATTTTCAATAAAATCGGTGCTTTTAAGTTTGTCTGTAGGTGTTTGGTGACTAGTTACAGAAGCAACCCAAGCCTCTTCCCTAGAATTATCACAGAGTTTTTTACCCAAATGTAGTATTTGTTTTAGATTAATCATAAGGACTCTGTAACAGAAGGTGATAATTCAGTTTATGTTTTTGTTAAAGGTTGGAATGATCATATTTGAGATAGAATAAAAATTCCATTATTTTTCATACTTTCAAATTATCTTTAGTTGCACATGTTTATAATTAAATAGCTTCCTTCTTAATGTCTGAAAACTTCAAAAATTATGATGAGTTCAGAAAAATGACAATGTATTAAATTTTTATCCTGCTGTCATAAGTCCTTTCAAAAGTAGAAGGCTCAATTCAATTCTTATTGGGATAATAAAGACCAGTTTCCATAGTAATGACCTTGTAGGCATCCCTAACGTATGTTATCATGACATCTTACTACATGGTTAATACTGTAAGTAGTTATTGCTTAATCATATGATTAAACATTGTCCTTGTAAATATTACCAGCTGGTTTAAACTGCCATCCTGAGTTTAATAGATTCTAAACATCACAGAATTATTTGGATAAATATTTAATAGCAAATTTTTCTAATTGATTTTTAAAATGCACTAAAATATTTCAAATATTATGATAGCTGTCATACCTCACTTATCTCTGGTTCCCTCAAAATATACTCACTATTTAATTATTTTGATTTTCTATACATCATTCAATAGAATATGATTATTCCAGATGGAAGAATTAGTACCAGAAATGTGATGTTTTGCGTACTGATCAATGAGCTGCTCCATGTTCAACTTCCTTTATCACTGAGTTTAAGGGAAAAAGCAGAATTACTTGTCCTACTAATCACCTGACTACAACAAAGAGAGAGAAAAGGACAGAACATTCTCAATATCTTTTTAAGCAATATTTCAATTTTCCTTTTACAGGAATTTGAAATTTGAGAAGAAGGGCTTATAAAAACCTATACCACTCATTGGTTTAAAAAATGTTTAAGAATTTTCTAACCAGGACCTGACTCTAATTCCTATTTAATGACTATAGTTCCAAACTTCGATGATTTTTCTTGTTAAGCAGTTTAGTGGTAAATATCCTTTTAAATATATCCTCATTCGGTTACATTCTTCTTTTCTAAGATTACTTTTTTATTACAAAAGAATAACGTACCACCAAGTATACCTTTTAAGAAATTTAAGTAAAATGAAATAGAAAATTCTAATCTCCCATTTTAAATGATGATTATAAATTATGTGAACCCCTAATAAGGATATAGATTTGTCAAAGTTTTATATATACTTAAAATATACTCTGCCAATATATGTACCCATGCATATACATATCATGTAAACACATACATGCCCCTAGCATGAAATATTTATATTTGGAATTTCTCATCATTAGTTAAAATTAGTGATGTATGAATAAAAGTTCATGTAACATTTTTCTGACTATTACTTATTGCAGTCATCTCAATATTAAGTAATTTGTTTAATTATAACTAGTTTAAAATTTTCTTAATTTAAAATTTCAGCTAGGAATATTTTAGAACATTAAACAATTTCAAAAATTACATTAAATTGGAAGGCATGTATACTTTATAACATTGAATATTTTAACATATTGGATTCTTTCTGGCTAATGAAGTTAAAATAGACATTTACATGTAGTAATTTCAGATTCTCGTTATTTTCATCATTTTGTTTTCATTTTTGCTTTGATTTTAAATTTTCCTTTCCTTACTTGTTTGTCTTAAAATAGAAAATTTGATATTTTTCCCAGAAATTATAAAGAGATATGGCACAGACTATTCAAAGCATACTTTTGAGAAAAGTGTGGTTACATAGTTACCCGTTCTGTCAAAACCTGTCACTTGCCAGGCATTTGCTACTAAAGTTCATCTGTAGATTTTTTAAAAAGAGTAGAAAATTATTGATTCAGAGCCACAGAAATAATTTACTCTATCATCCTTTTTCATCCTAATGTAGTTAAAATATGTTGTATTTTTTGTATAATATCTATCCATAGTTGATTGATACGAACAAACCTACAGATCTGGTGTGATTCACATTCTAGTGATGTGTTTGTGTTTTGCCTCATCATGTTGATTATCCTTAAGGTAATAGAAGAGAATATAATTTATTAAATTTATGAAAAAATAAAATTTAAAAGAAAAAGTTAGCATCTAGTGCTACTGTGTCCCACAGGTTCTTCTACATTGACCCATACTACCTCCACTGGTGAGTTAGAGGAGCATAACAGGACTACCACTGGTGCTATTGCTGTTGCTAGCACACCTGCAGATGTTACTGTATCCAGTGTTACAGCTGTCACCATCCATAGACTTTCTGAGGAACAGCGAGTGCAAGTTACGAATCTCAGAAATTCAGGTCTGGACCCCAACACATCCAAGAACGGGCTCTCTCCTCATCAAGCAGATACACAAAGTTCAAGGAGAAGACCAAGAAATGCTGAACAGATAGAAAGAACTAAAGAGCTTGCAGTTGTTACTCATAGAGGTATTGGATGTTATTTTACTTGTGCACATTTAGTTACAGCCAAAGCAATCTTTTGGTATTGATTCTAATTAGAGAATGAGCTAAGATGTAGAAGGAGCCAAGATGTAGAAAGTGAAAGAGAGTTTGAAATGGCTGAGCAAGATGAATAGTAACAGCCAAAAATGGAATAATTTAGAAGCACCTAAATTAAAATTTTTAAAAAAGCAAAGCTCAGTGCAACTTTTTGAGGGGAAGGGGGTAAAAATAGAACGAGAATTCATAAAAAGACAGCAAAAACTAGTACTAAACACCTATTATTTGTTTCAACCTAGCTATGATTTTGAGGTTATAGGTAAATAAGGTAGCCATTTTGTATTAAGTGTACATATTTGCACATATGTAGTTTACCCATGTAGCAATTATAAGTGTTTGCATGAGATTTTTGTACTGTAGAAAATACTAACACTTGAGAAAATAGATAATTTGGAAAAAATGGAAACATCTGGTGATTGTTCACATAGCTTAGACTTTTATTTCTAAGTTATGGATTGCCTTACCAATATGATAGTGATGAAAATAGATTTCTCATGTTGAAAAGACAGCAGCAATTATCTGATATCATGGTTCCATAGTTAAAATATCCCTTAATGTCCTAATTTAAGTCTAAAGAAAAAAAAATACAAACCATATGATATGTAGGTAATTTTCTACTCAATATGTCCATCTTTTGTAAAATTAAGAAGTATAACAAACATATTTTTTTCTCTTCATGGCAAGTTGCATGGAAAAAATTAATGTAATGTCAAAAAGTAAAAGTGCACTTAAATCAACATATGCATAATTGAAAACTTTAATTTATTAATCATATTTCAAGTATAAAATATTTATTCCATTTCCAACTCATCATCACATGTTCTTTAGCTTGGTTAGGATTTATGTAGTGTGATTAGGCATGATTTATACAGACTATGATATAAGTAATAAAAAATTATTCAATGCTTAATACCTCACAGGAGAGAAATTAATGCATTTTCACATAAGTTAATTAAAGATCATAAAAAATCAGCAAAGCTTATTTCCAATATAATTAATGTGGAAATACCTACTTTGATTTTCTTTAATAAGACACATTCTAAAATTAATTTTTGGCAAGTGGTAGTCTCCTTTAAAGGAGTAGGTTGACATCACTTTGCTTCTTTGTTCACTTTTCTACCATGAATACTGCTACTCTTAAGAACATGGGAATCACATTAAAACTTAAAATTTACTGAATCAAGTAGTTTTCTCTGCTAACTATGAAATAAAATGGGCCAAAATTATATTAAAATGTTGATTATAGAATAAAATTTTAATTTTTAACTTTCTTTGGACAATTGCATGAGGTAACTAATATTGACAAGCTACCCCAAAAGCATTTTATCATGCATCAAATAGGGTGATTTATAATGTTTATTATAAAATTCAAGTATAGCCAAAATTTGCCATTGTGTTTTATAAGAAAACGTGGGAATTATAAACTAATATCTTGTAGAGATTAGAATAACATTTCAAATTGAAAACAGAAAAGGTAGTAGTAAATTACTAAGTAAGTAATTTGAAAATGATTCCTTATAAAATTTCAAGTATATTCATGTGAATTTGACTTAAACATTGAATACTTCCTTTGTAGATTTCAAAACAGTGCTTGAATTTTCTCAACTGCTTCTATACGGATCCACCGCTCTTGGAGAGCCAACATCTATTTCACCTTTTCCCATACTCTTTCTAAAACGGTGTTCTGAATTTAACACTCCTTCCATTGGTGTCATTTCCTTTGAAAGTAAACATTCTTCAACTGTTGATGTTTAAATTATGTAGAAAACAATATATGGGGAATATCTTAAATGTTATATTCATATTATTCTCAGTGAATTAAATTATGCTTTTATCAAATCTCTATTTTAATTAAAGTTGGTTCCTGTTTCTTCTTCAGTAACCTATTACATTTCAATGATTTAAGTTTTCTGGTACTCTATTATCCTGTAGACCAAAACTATTCACTTTCTGTGCCAAAAGTGTCCATATAAAGAATAAAAAATGCCTATTTTTAAAGTCCTCGAAACAGAGCTATATTTTCTTACATAAAAGAGTCCTCAAAACTTGATGGTACTTGAAAGATTTGGCTGGCAAGAAAGTAGTGTTGCTTAAAAAAATAATAATTCCAAATCATGCAACATTCCTTATGTGGTTATTGAATACCATTCTAGGATAAATTATGATAAATAATGCATGACCCTTGTCTTCAAAAGCTTGATATAGAGTAAAAAAAAATAGAGAAAACCATCCTGGTGGTGCAATAAAATTTTCTAAAACTCATGGTTGATCTAGTTTTAAAAGAGTAGCAATTATATGCAGGGAATGAATTTCTTGAGTTACTTTTAAAATAAGAGTGAATAAGCATGATCCAGTATTACTTGCTTAAATTTTTCTACATGTTTCAGGGAAAAAAAATCAACTCATTCTTCCAATCCATTCTCCACAATGAATCAAAGTGGCATTTTAAAAGTTAAAATCTGGTTATATTAAAGCATCTAGTGATTTCTCAATTGACCTTCGGTGGTGACCTGAGAACCTGAATAATTTGATTTTTGCTCATCTCATCAATTTCATCTCATGAAGCAACTACAATCATTATTTTTTGGCCAAGTAGAATTCATTTTAGTTTATAAATATACCATGCTCTTTTTTACCTTAAGCTATTCTCATAATCTATTTCTGCTTTTCCTGCTTTCTTTCAACTAGATTGCTCTAATTTTCTTTTGAGGAATAGTTACTTCCACAAAGATTAGATCTTTGATTCAAAACTTGCTATCATAACCTGTACTTTTCCTGTATATGCAATTATTAGCCCTATGACTTTTTCCATAAAATTTTAATATCATTAAGGGTAAAAAATAGATCATTACTCATACTGCATTTGCAGAGTCTAGTGAAGTTTCTGACTGATAAATGTATATAGAAAATACATTCTAAATTAATGAGTAAATGTTCACATGTAACTAGTTAAAAACTTACTTAAATTACTAAAGATTTGAGATTATCTTCTTCAATATAATGAAATAGCTATATACTTCAATATTTAAGATAATTTTGTACCTCATTTTGTCAGTTATCAGTTTTTGTACAAAAACTTTTTAAATACAATAATATTCTTATGACCACACAATAATATATCACAATTATGATACTATATTACTCCCTCAAAATTCACAGTATGAGACAATCTAAATACTGTCTTACAGTCTTTTTACATATGTATAAATTAAAAGGACACATAATTAAACACAAACTATAATATCATATAAACAAATATCAGTGTAATACAGTAGATGCTATTATACTGAAGTTAATTGCCACTTAAAGCATAAATATGGCAGAGATGGCTATAGCATAGCTTCCTTTGATATCTGCAAGACTATGTTACTTTACACTCTGAGAAAATTTAGTATTTTTCATAATTCATTTTGCAATTAAGATTATATTTTTATGGTGGCTTTTGATCATTACTAGTTCCTAATTTATGCATTTTCAACAATCTGAGTCAAATCATTTATAATGGACATAAATATTATTATGAACATGAACTATGGAAGCTGAAATTGCATACGGTATTTGATACTTGATACTTGGGTATGTGCAGACTCAAATCAATGTCCTGGTTTATGATAAATTAAGTCTTAACTCACTATAACTATTTTATATAAATAGTAGTTGTAGTTAGGCACTGGTGCCTCACACCTGTAAGTCCTAGCTGCTAGGGAACCTGAGATCAGGAAAATCACATTCCAGACCATCCCAGATAAATACTTTAGGAGACCACATCTCCAAAATAATCAGAACAAAATGAGCTCAATTGGTAGAATGCTGGAGCGCTTGTGGCTCAAGCAGTAGAGCACCAAGGGTGAAGCATCCAGTCCCACCAATAATAATAATGACAATAATAATAATAGTTGTAAAATGAATAAATGTGAAAAAATCTTGCAGTATTTTTCAAAGATCTTTACAGTCCTGTACAGTGTTCAATTCCAATTAATTTTCTAGGTAATATGTTAAATATCAGGAATTTCATTTGATTTTCTATTTGTTTTAAGTAACAGAAACCCTTTCTGATTTTTCCATATTTGAAGTCTTTGAACACCAAGATAAAGAGAAAAGGAGAATGAAATATTAATAAGTATGTTTAGATCTTCTAGTAACTATGGATTAATCCCACATCACACTATGATATATCAATGTCTATTATTCTCAAAAAAATTCAGATTTCTTTTTTACTGCACTTTTGGCAGTTACTCTGAATGAAACCCTGCTCGGTTTTTAGGAACAATCAGAGCTCAATTTCCATATCTGTACAAATGGTTATTAGACTAGCATAGTATTATTTTAAAGTTACTATGAGTTTTAAACATGATAGTAGGTGAAAATGTCAGAAAATCTGAGGCATCTTCTCTAAATGAAAGTTTAAAATCAAATTGCCTACCATCCACATTGAGTTTTGGGGTCAATGGACTAGAGTCTGCATGTTGTCCCTTATTAACTTCATGAACTTGAGCAGGAAATTCAATTCAATAACTCAATAACTGAGAATTGTCCCCTCATAGGGTTACGTGAAAATCTTAACACACTTGCTGACAGAAGTGTCCAGCACATAGTAATTATTGCTATTTTTACTACTATTAAGCAAATATATGCTGACTCTTGCTGCATACATGACATTATATTGAATAGTGACGATGTAAGAATGAACAATACAGTCTATGCCATCAAGTAGTATACAATACCTGAAAAAATAATAATTGAAATGCACTGAAAGAAGCCTGGTAATCATAATATTTTAAAATGTTTTTAGTACAGCAGAGGGAATAAATGTAAAAGTCAAAGAAGGTTTCACAGAGAATACTTGAAGTAATCTGTGAAAAATAAAATTTTGAAAGTAGTAAATTGTGTTTATATTGCTAAGATCCATATAAGATGCTTTAAGTAAA